AACTAACTAACTAACTAACTAACTAACTAACTAACTAACTAACTAACTAACTAACTAACTAACTACATATGGGCAAACTGTGGCCCAGGTGGGGACTATAGACAGGCTGACAGTTGTTTAGCCCCAAAGTAATCAGGGGCTCTGGGAGGCATCTATAGTGGGTTGGAGGACGGACCCCCTCTTGGCTCCTTGTGAGGCATCCCTCCTGACAGGCCTGCCTAGCAACCTGCACTCTGTTTTCTTGCCCAGAGATCCCATCCCCACAGACTACTACAACTGGGGATGTTTCCAGAAGCCCCCAGAAGGTAAGGTGGAGGATGGGGAAGATGAGACAAGCCCCTAGTCTAGATAGGTCTGCAGAGGAGCTGAGACACGTGACAGGCCGAGGTGGGTGGGGAGGAAGGAAGCTGGTCAGCGGCACAGGCAGAGAAGGGGGACGGAGTGGAGGGACAGGGACAGGACAGGAAGCAGCGGTGGGCTGTGGGCAGGAGCTCTGAGAGGACCAGCTCGCTTGTCCTCTGGGGCTGTGCAGACACAGATAGGCGGCCGATGACAGATAAGCCAGGGCCAGCTTGGAGGATGCTGGAGCCTCTGGTCATGACCACTTCTGCTTTACAGAGGAGGAGAGAACAGGGAGGGGACAGAGCCTGCCCAGAGGAACAGGGCCTCCAGCCTGGGCCCTCTCCTGCCTCTGGAATGTGCCAGGGTTGTGGATCAAGGGGTCCTCTTCTCTCTTTATTTTAACATCTGTTAAAAATATTTATTTACTGTGTGGGTGTGGGGAGCACATGTCCTAGAATGACTTGAGGGATTCGATGCTCTCCTTTACCGTGAGTGTCCTAGATGGAACTCACCAAGTGCCTTTACCTGACCTTTGTTCTTGTTTTGTAAGAAAGGGTCTCCTGCTGGGTGGTGGTGGTGCAGGCCTGTGATCCCAGCACTTGGGAGGCAGAGGCACACAGGTCTCTGTGAGTTCGAGGCCAGCCTGGTCTGTGGAGCAAGTTCTAGGGCTGTTATACAGAGAAACCCTGTCTTGGAAAACAAAACAAACTCAACAACAAACAAACAAGATAGCCCCTGAGGAAGAACACCCAAAGTTGTCCTCTGACCTGTAGCTTCACACCAACACATGTACCTGCACACAGCACACACACAAAACAACAGTGATAACAACCACAAAAACTGGTTAAAGGGGCTGGAGGGATGGTTCATCAGTGAGGGGCACTGGCTGCTCTTCCAGAGGTTGAGTTCAATTCCCAGCGTGCACATGGTGGCTCACACTGCCTGTAATGGAATCCTTTGCCACCTTCTGGTGTAAGCTGTACATGTAGACAAGACTTACAAATATAAAATGCATACATAATACATCTTAAAAAAAAAAAACAGCTGGATGCAGTGACGCATGCCTGCCTCAAGGAGGCAGAGGCAGGAGGATCTCTTTGCGTTCAAGGCCAGCCTGATCTACGAAGTGAGTCCAGGACAGCCAGGGCTACACAGAGAAACCCTGTATTAAAATCGATGCTCCCCTCCCCCCCAAAAAAAAGTCTAAGAGAATTTCAAAGCCATGAAGCTCAGGGAGAGAGCTTGGTGGGCCTACAGGGGTAGCAGCAGGGCGAAGGGACACCTGGGGCTTGCAGGCAGGTCCACCTGCAGGTCTTCTGCCAGATGTCTTCTGTTGACAGACGATTCTATCTCCTACGAGAATGTGCTCATCTGCAAGCCCAGCACCCCAGACTCAGGTAAAGCCGTCTCTCCCAAGAAGGGCAAGGCAGGGGCTGGCACCCTGAGTCAGGCCCACCCTCATGCACACGAAGTGAGGTCCTTAAGACTCAGAGCCTTCACCTCTATACTCCATGTCGCTGGTGTCCTTGGGTCAAGTTCACCCACGGCCCTGACAGGGAACCCCCCCAAGGGGGAGGAACCATCTAGGGGACTATGCTCTTTCACTGGGTCACCCTCAGGGGAAGAGAGCTAGCCCCTAGCTCCTTGGGCCTGCTCAGAGTGTCCCTATAACCTCCCTTAGGTGGTGAGGAATCCGAGGATTACCAGAACTCAGCATCCATCCATCAGTGGCGAGAGTCCAGGAAGATTGTGGGTATGTGCTCCATGGGTAGAGGCTGCCAGGACTGCAGGGAAGGGGGCTGCAACTGGCCAGGGCAGAAGGGCTGGCCTGGCTGGCTTTCCCTCAGCCAATGGCTGACTTCAGAGAGGACTCTCCATTATACCCAAAGCTGCAGAGGCCTTGGATTCTACCAGAACTCCCCTGGGCAGCAGCTTGGTCTCCAGAGCTGGTCACTCAGCCCGGAGCATGAGGATTTCTGACAAACAGTAATGACAGGCAGACATCACCAGCCCTGCACAGTATGGCACTTCCCCAGTGTCATTGTGGGGTCTGGGTGCCTGAGCGCCCTGGCTGGGGAACCATCGGACAACCCAACAACCCCCTATCCTGATCCATAGGTGCACAAATGTCCCCATCGGAAGGCCCAGAGGAGGAGCCAGATTACGTGAATGGGGATGTGGCTGCAGCTGAGGAAATCTAGGAGCGAATCAATGGGAAGGAAGGTACAGTCTACCCTCTGGCTGCTCAGAGAGTGAGGGGCCCGAGTCAAGGAAGAGCCCTGTGCTCTAGGGAGGAGGCTCAGTGCAGTGATGGACGGCCCCATGGGTGCTCAGCAGCCTATTAGGACTGAGTCCACATGCTCCACTTCCTGCGGGACTAGGGGAGCCAGAAGAAGAAGGCTTGCTGAGGTGACAGGTGGGAGCATCCGCTAGGTCAGGGGTGCTGGAGGTGTCTAGCTGTCTCGGGAGCAATCATTTGCCCTGCAATCTACCAGTGGGGGTTGGGGACATTCAGAGGCAGTGATTGCCTGTACACATGATGTCCTGAGGCTCCATCTAAAGCACTGAAAACTTTGAAGTTTGAAGCCACAGATCAGCTCTTAAACAACAGAAAGGGGACTTGAGAGATGCCTCAGTGTAAGCCTGAGCGTGTGAGTGCAGGTCCTGCACACCTGGAACTTGGTGCATGGGCAGTGGATCTCAGGACTCACCAGCCAGCCTGGCAGAAACAGTGAGCTCCAGGGGGCAACGATCGAAGAAATTACTCACAGCTGACTTCTGGCTTCCATGTGGACACCTGCACACACACATGCACGCACACACACACACACGAATGGAAAGAAGGAAAGGGAGGTGGGAAGAAAAGAAAGCAGAGAAATTAGGTAAATAATAAATAAGATAGCTGGGTGGTGGTGGCACACGCCTTTAATTTACCCAGCACTTGGGAGGCAGAGTCAGGCTGATCTCTGAATTCAAGGCCAGCCTGATCTACAGAGCTACAGGACAGCCAGAGTTATACAGAGCTATACAGAGAAACCTTGTTCCAAAAAACCAAAAAATAAACAAACAAAGATAAAACGTAAGAAAATTCAATATACCAGACATGGTGGTGCACACCTTTAATCTCAGCACTCAGGAGGCAGAGGCAGGCAGATCTCTTTTGAGTTCCAGGCTAGCCTGGTCTACATAGAGAGTGCCAGGCCAGCCTGGTCTACATAGAGAGACCATCTCAGAAAAATCTCCAAACCAAAAATGTAATCTGTTCTCTGATAATAAGTCTTTGTGATAAACAGACTGGGGGAGAGGGTTGTATATTGGGATAGAGGTGACAGGGGGTTGAAATTTAAATAAGACCAAGGTACTCTGCCTCTTCACTGGCAGGGACATCCCGGAAGAGCAGATAGGAGGCAGGAGAAGCAACATGTCAGCCTCTAGCAGAGGGCTTGGGAGGGCTTGTTTGCCAGTCAGCCAGAGCTAGCACTGGAGTTCTTCAATGACCTAGAAGGGACAGTGAATCAGGGTCTCGTTCCTTTCCTTCCTCCTGCCTTCCCCCATGGAATGCTGGGATTGCAGGTATGTGTCACCACGCCAGGCAAGCTTTCCCTTTTGTATTGTTGACACTGGTTCTCACTATGTAGCCTGGGCTGGCCTGGGACTTGGTATGTAGACCAGGCTGGCCCTGAGTTCACAGCGATCCTCCTGTCTCTGTGGAGTCCTGGATTTAAGGTGAATTCTGGGATTGAAGGAGTGCATCCCCACACCTGTCTTTTTATGTGGGTTCTGGGAACTGAACTCAGGACCTCAGGCTTGTGCAACAACTGTTTTACTGACAGACATTTCTCCAGTCCCCAACCTTTTCCTTGTAACTAACTCTCCTCTCTGTTGAAGGGCCTGAGGATCATGAGCCTGCTGAATGAAGCCTGTTTTCCAAGGATGCTCTAGCTTCACACTGCAGCCTGTGGCTACTCCTGAGAGGGCACCAAATCACCCTGACACACAGCCTGGGAGACACTGGGAATCACCAGAGCTGCCACCCTCAAGTGATGCCCTGGACTTCCTTGGGAGCAAAGCAAGTGCCCAGGGGATATTGGTTGTGCTGACTGGAAGCCCAGGACCTGAGGCACACAGGTCCCCAGTCCCACATCTAGACAGGGTCCAGGCTGGCCTCAAACTCCAGCCTCCGCCCTGTGCTGGGACCTGCAGGGTGTATCACCACACCTGACCTTGTAGCTTTTTTCTGTTCGGAAAACTTAGGAATGTTGGTTTCTGAGAATGTCACATGACTTTTTCTGCAGTTTACTTAAATTGCTAGAGCTGTATTTAACACTGTTCAATGTCGGGGGCACTTTCTCTCTCAGAGAGCATTACATGTACTAATTTTGGCAGATCAGTTGGGTGTGGGGTAACCTGGGGTCGTCTTGGTCTCTTAGTGGGCTCCAGTTTGCTCTGATCTGCCATTCTTGCAGGGGTCTTGTGGGTCAGTGTTAGGGAAATAACACTGGCCCCTCACCAAACATCAATAAACCCTGAGATTTTAAGAGCAGGCACTGTCACATATGCCTTTGTTTAAACACCTTTTCTTGTGTGTTCATCGGACTGGGCATTTCCCTGTGTTGTTCTCCATTCTTGGTTTGTTCTTTTGTTTTGTTTTTTTCCTTTTAAAGACATTCACTTGGGGGCTGGAGAGATGGTTCAGAGGTTAAGAACACTGGCTGTTCTTCTAGAGGTCCTGAGTTCAATTCCCAGTAACCACATGTGGCTCACAACCATCTATAGAGATCAGGTGCCCGATCTCTATAGAGATGGTTATGAGCTGAGCCACCATGTGGTTGCTGGGAATTGAACTCAGGACCTCTGGAAGAGCAGCCAGTGCCCTTTACCTCTGAGCCATCTTTTCAGCCCAGAATAATGATTCTTAAGACTCAAAATATATTTACAAATACCTAGGCCATATAGCTAGGCTCTTCTTCAACTAGCTCATAACTTAAAACCCATTTAAACTAATCTACTCCTGCACAAAGCTGGTTACCTCTGCTTAGGTACCATACATCTGTCCTCTTCACATCTTCCCAGGTGAATCTCCTGTATCTGGCTCTATTCCAGAATCCTTTCTCCTACCGGATGTCCCGCCTTCTAGTCTACCTTTCCCTACAGGAAATAGGTGACGCATCCATACAATACACAAGATATTCTCTCCGTACTTGTCAGCTGCCCCTGAGTGCTGGGAACCCAACTAGGGTCCTCTGGAAGTGCAGTTCACCCTCAGCTGCTGAGCCACCTCATGTTTCCTGCGTTATCAACAAGTACCTGCCACTGAACTTGTAAACTTGCTGATTGGACAGACTTACTGGCTAGTGAACCCCAGGATCCTGTCTCTGACTTGCTAGCACTAGGATCACAGGCATCTGCTACTGCCCCTGGCTTTTCACTTGGGTTTTGGGGAATCCAAACGCAGGTCCTCCAGCCTACATAGCAAGCACTTTACCCACAGAGCCACCGCCACCCTCTTCATTAGTGTGTATTCGTGCACGTGTGTGCAGGTGTAGGCACGGTCAGAGGACAGCTCTGTGAAGAGGCTCCTCCTTCCACCTTCATGAAGGCTCCAGGGATGAAACTCAGGTGGCCTGGCTTGTACGAGAGGTGCCTTTACCTGCCGAGCCATCTTGTCAGTACCTTTTTGTCGCTTTTGAGTCTCACTCTGTAACCCAGACAAGCTGGCACTGAACTAATTCATGGCAATACTTTGTCACAGCATCCCAAGTGCTGGGATTACAGGCCTGTGCCGCCATGCCTGCCTCTGGTCAAGAGTCAAGACATTTCCTCTGTGTAGCCCTGGCTTGTCCTGGAACTCACTATAGCTCAGGCTGGCCTCAAACACAGAGATCTGCCTGCTTGGGATTAAAGGTGTGTATGCCCACTACTGCCCAGCTTAATTAAGATCAAAGTTCTTAGTAGAAAGGACCCTGAGGTCCGGGGAGGAACAGGCTATGCACTTCATCTAGTCCTTTCCCCAGACATCACAAACTCATTCTGAGAAGAAGCGAATGCCACAAGCTATATTAGAAGAAACACTTAGAACCCAATTGATAGACAGTGACAAGAGAGGGTCTTCTATCTCCTGTTTACCAGGCTGGCCTGGACTTCTATAGCAGGGGCTAGCTTTGAACTTAGCCTCTTGGTTCACGGGGCTGAGGAGGTAGCTGAGCAGTCTGGCTGTTCTTGCAGAGGATGAGACTCAGTTCCCTGCACCCACATGAGGTTCACCTGTGACTCCCATTCCAAAAAAACCCAATGCCCTCTTCCAGTCTTCTCACATGGTGCATAGGCATACATGCAGGCGATACCCCCACAAAAATCACCTGCAGACATTAATAAAGGATTTAAAAACTATGGTGTGTGCTACTGTGCCTGGCTTCATTCCTTACATTTTATTTAGTTTTTAATAATTTTACTTATTATTGTGTGTGTGTGTGTGTGTGTGCAGAACCTAGAAGACAACTTTGTTTTGAGAAAAGTCTGTGTAAGCCTGGCTGTCCTGTCACTGTGCAGATCAGCTGGCCTTGAACACAGGGAGATCCACCTGTCCCTGCCTCCCGAGTGCTGGGATTTGAGGTGTGTGCCACACCTTCTGTAGAGTCAGTTCTCTTCTCCCACCTTCTTGAGGGTCCTGGGGCTAGAACTCTAGTGGCTAGGCGTGTGGCCGGCACCCTCCCCTGCTGCAGTCTCAGTGGCCGCAGGGTACCCTTTCTACTGTCAGGGTAAAGAGACAGAAGCAGGGTACTAGGTCTCCCCAAAGCCTCAAGCAATTAATCGCTACAAGATAAACATCCTCTTTATTAGCTACAACACCAAGATTGAGGACATTGGGGCCTTCCCACCACACCCCATGTCCAGGGCCCAAGGGTAAATTCAGATACTGAAGAGCAGAGGCGTATTGGCAGTAATGTGGAATCTTCCAGAGCTCTGTCATGCACAGGCGGGGCTATAGCTCAGCTGACATGCACCAGCCCTGGGTTCCATCTGCAGTCACGCTTAGAGCAAGCATGACGACACACCTGTAACCCAGTGCTCATCAGGCAGCAGGAGGAGTTCAAAGTCAGCCAGGGCTACAAGAGACCCTATTCTCACAGAACAGAAACACAGTGAGCTTGTTCTAGCGAAGTCTGAGGCCCATCTCCCCACAACGGGAAAGCTGGACCAAGTGTCTCAGCGACGAGGACTCTCCTAGTCTCATCGATGGAGGATGTCTCAATTCAGCTGGCCACAGGAGCCATGGTCTTCTGACACAGCCTGGCCAGGAGCCCAGCCATCTGCAGCAAGGAATTCACACCTTCTGCCACCTTCATGTGCGTGTAGCCAATCTCCTGCAGCATAAGCAGGAGAAGGAGGGTAAGCGGGACCGTTTTTTCCTTTGCAGCTAAGTAGTGATAGGTGCTAAACAGATACAACAATCCCACAATGCAGCAGGGAAAGTGGCAGGATCTGGCGTCCCTCAAGTTCAGTTCACGCAGGGAAAGGGTGTTCCAGGCTTAGGAAACAAACCCAGAGCATCCAGCACTGAGATCAGCCCAGGCCGCCAGAGGCTCATGTAGCCCAGGCTGGTTTCAAACTCCCTATGTAGCTGAGGATAGCCTTGAGCTTCTGAGTCTCCCGCCTCCACCTCCAGGGTGTTAAACCATGGGCAGGCGAAGGGACACCCAGCTCTTTTTGGCTCTTGCTGTTTTAAAACAAGGTCTCACTATGTAGCACTAAAGGGCACAGCCATCTTGTGCAGGGCTCTCTGCACATTCGAGGCATCCCAGCTAAGCCAGTTAATTCTTACAAACACACACTTGCCTGCGATGGTGGTCTCATGTCTGGAAACCCACCCGAATAGAGCAAGAACTTGGCCAACAGTGATGGTGGCCCATGTGTGCCAGTGTATAGTAGCTTTAGCCACAGAAATTCAAATGCCCTTCCTGGAGAACAAACAACACAGCCACACAGCAGAATACTGCTGAGCGGTAAGGGCCAGGCCACGGACACCCGTCACAACAGATACGGAGGGCAGGATGCACAGTAGCGTGGTGGCACATACTTGTAACCCCAGCTTAGACTACACCATGAGACCCTGACAGAAACAAAGCAGAGGCTGCCGGACTCAAAAGAAGTCGGAAGTGCACAAGCTAATTCTGAGCTCTGACTAACCTTGATAAACTCCAGTTTCAAGTACTCGGCCATCGGGAAGGTTTTACACACTCGGAAAATGTTGCCAATGACATCTTCTGGTGAGTAGCCCAGGTGCCACAGGTGAGCAAGAATCTGGAAAAAAACCCAACAGGCTCTGAACATTGTGAGCTGTGTGAACAGGGAGACGTGCTGGTGGGCCCCATGCCACCCAGGCCTCTGATCATGGCAGGTAGTTTAGTTCATTTCCAGAAGGCCCCAATGACTACAGGCAAGATGGTCTGCTATCTTGCCTAGATCGTGCCTCTGTCCAGGGCCTCCACATGGACTCCCTCCCCAGCTAGCGCCCCCAGGCTCAGTCAGAAACAGGCCCTTGCTCAATGAGGGCACTTTCCCAAGCCAGGGGCTGTGTCTTGACAGTTCGTTGGGCCTTGGCACCCTGGGATAGATTCTGGTACTTTAGGATTAGACAGGGATAGAGGGTTAGCGTCAGAGGTCAGGGTCAGCTGTGGTCTTCCCCCATAACCAGCCTCTGGCTCTACCGAAGTCTTTCTGCCTGGCACTTTAGTTTCTCATTAATTCCAACCCTGCCCTGACTGGGGTCAGTTTCCCTGGTTGACTGGGTGTACTGCTGGTTTTGTGTGTCAACTTGACACAAGCTAGTCATTAGAGAAAAAGGAGCCTCAGTTGAGGAAATGCTCCATGAGCTCAAGCTGTAATGAATTTTCTCAATTCGTGATCAATAAGGGAGAGCCCAGCCCAGGGTGGTGCCATTCCTGGGTTCTATAAGAAGGCAGGCTGAGTAGCCAGGGGCTGGGGGCAAGCCAGGAAGCCGTACCCTCCATGGCCTCATCATTAGGCCCTGCCTCCAGGATCCTGTCCCTTTTGAGTTCCTGTTCTGACTTCCTCCCATAATGAATAGCACTATGGAAGTGTAAGCTAAAAAAACCCTTTCTTCCCCAAGTCGTTTTTTGGTCATGTTTTTTTTTTTTTTGTTTTATTTTTTATTATTTATACAGTATTCTGGCTGCATCTGCAGGGAAGAAGAGGGCACTAGATCTCACTATAGATGGTTGTGAGCCACCATGTGGTTGCTGGGAATCAAGCTCAGGAACTTTGGGAGAACATCCAGTGCTCTTAACCTCTGAGCCACTTGTCCAGCCCAGTCATGGTGTTTTATCACAGCAATAGAAACCTTAAGACACTGCGGGTGAGAGACCTGTGATCAGATAAAGGGTCTGCAGCCACACCCCTGGTACCTATAGATCTGAAGTCACCCATACTCACTAGCGTCTGCTAAGGGAACCAGGGGCCCCTATAGCCACACTGGACCCTTCCTGACCCCCTTCTCTTCCAGAAAACGAGGACTGCTGGGTTCCTGGTTGGCCCTCAACATGATTCTCAGGAAGCCAGAGGCTGGCTGCAATTTCTGTATCTCAGGCCAAGAGTCCTCTTGTGGAGGGCGGAACTCCAATAGTGCATGATGCCGGCTTCCAGGCCTACCATTTGTAGCGTGGCTTGGGGCAAGGAATCAGTCGCTCTCCGTTTCATGGTTGAATATGAAATACTACTTGGTGGCTTGCTGGTGGCGCTGTTCTAGGAGGCTGTGGTATTTAGGAGGTAGAGCCTCTATAGTCAGGCAGCAGGTCCATGCTTCCTGATCCACCAAGATGTGAGGCCCCTTATGGGGCTACAGAGATGGCTCAGTGTTAAGAGCACTGGCTGCTCATCTAGGGACCAGGGTTCAGTTCCCAGCCCCCACTTGGCAGCTCACAATCCAGTCTTGGGGAGCTGATATCCTTTACGGTACTGCAAGGACATCACACTTGTGTGGTGCACAGACTACATGCAGGCAAAACACCCAGGCACGTCTGAAAAAAAGATGTAAGGTGTTGTAGGCACACGCTCCCACCAGCAGAGCTCTGGCACGCCTTCCAGGTGTGTTGGGCTGCACCCTTCCGCTGAGTTCCTATAACACCAGCCTCTGTCCAGCAAAACCCTGTTAGGGTTCTGACAGAGTGATGAGCAAAGTAAAGTTCACCCGAAGCTGAGAGTGATTTTAAGATTAAGGAGAGTGCCGCAGAGGCCTAGAGCCACCCTGGGCTCTGGCCACTTGGGTGAAGAGACACAGGCAACATGGAAACCAGGGAGTAGACAGGGACCCACCTTGTAGGCCTCATCGATGTTGGCATCCACACAGTGCTGGATCATCTCCTTCACCAGCAGGGGGTGGGGCTCGTCACAGACCTGAGCACATTTCCAGGACATACAACATCACGAGGGCCCTCCAAGTCTCTAGCAACTGGAATGGGATTTGGGAACACCCTTCTGACTACCACCCAGACATCCCCAAATATGACAGCGCCTGATGAGGTTAAATTCCTCATATCCAGCCGGGTGGTGGTGGCACATGTCTGTGACCCCAACACTTGGAGAGGCAGAGACTGGTGGATCTCTGAGTTTGAGGCCAACCTAGTCTACAAAGTCCAAACAAAACAAAAATTCCGGAATGAACCACAAAGCAGCCAAAGGTCCCAAAAAACACTCTGCTTGGGCGGCATTAAAGGCATGGTGCTGGGCTTGGTGGCACATGCCTGTAACCTCAAAACCCAGGAAGACCTCAAATTCAAGGCCAGTCTGGGCCACAGATTCAGATCCTGTCTCTAAAATAAATAAGCTGGGGATGGTGGCACACACTTGTGACTCCAGCATGAGGAAGGTGGAGGCAGTATATCAGAAGTTCAAGGCCAGCCTGGGTACATAACCTAGGCTACAAACTCTGGCTCAAAAAGAAAAGAAGATAAGAAAAAAAGTTGGAGACGGGTTTGGGGAGGTTAAGACTTTGAAGAAGCCAGCAGAGCCCAGCCCAAAGCACAGGTGAGAGTAAGAGCATCTCTGCAGGGAGGTGAGGGGTCAAGTAAGACAATGGCTAGCCTGCATCTGAATGGTGAGCCTGGATCCTACCACCACCATGTGGAACCTGCCCACGACCCTCCTCCTGGTCTCCTGCATATGAGAGACAAAACTGTAATGGAACGAGGAAAGGAGCAAGCTCTGCCAGGAGCACCGCTCACACAGCTGCAGACCTGTCACCTTTGTCCTTGTGTCCTAGCTGCCTGACTGTGATGGTACCACAGGTGTGGGCGTGCCCGGCTCACGTGGTGCCAGCTACGGTACCCAGGCAAGCATGCTACTAAATTAGATAAACACCCCCAGGCCTTTCCCTCCTTCCTTCCTTCTTTCTGAGATAGGTCTTACTTTGTAGCTGAAGCTGGCCTGGAACTCTCCGCCCCTCTGCTGCAGCCCCCCAATGCTGTGGACCACCGCGGCCGGCCCTACTTCTGACCAGTGCTTGTGCAGGTCCACTCTGGCGCAGACCAAGCCTCTCCCAGCCCTGATACCTTGAATACATTCTCGCTGTTGATATAGCCAAATCCTGAGAAGGTGGACTGCAAGTTGTTCAGTGCCTGGAGGGAAACAAGAGACCTATCAAAGGTGACTGCGACGTCTCTCCTATCCTGCCTAGCAGACAGAGAGCCTATACCCACCCTCCAGCAGCTCACACCCCTGCAGAGCTGGGTCCTCAAGCTTCATTTTAGCCAGACCTGGCAAAATACCTATTCCCCAACCTCATCTTGTAAGGGCAACGTGCTGGCTCGTCTCCTGTCAACATGAGACACAAACTAGGGTTGCCTGCAAGGAGGGAACTTCGATATGGAAAATGCCTCCATAAGACGCAGCTGTAGGGCATTTTCTTAAGCAGTGATTGATGGGGACGGCCCAGCCCAGTGTGAGTGAGTCCAACCCTGGGCTGGTGGTGCTGGGTTCAATAAGAAAGCAGCTGAGCGATCGAGGGGAGAAGCCAGTAAGCAGCACCCTCCATGGCCTCTACACCAGCTCCTGCCACATTCCTGCCCTGCTTTCGTGCCTGCCCTGCTTTCCTTTGGTGATGAAGAGAGATGTGGAAGTGTAAGCTAAATAAACCCATTCCTCCTCAACTTGGTTTTTTTTTTTTTTTTAGATTTTTTATTAATTATACAGCATTCTTCCTGCATATGTGCCTGTGCGCCAGATCTCATTATAGATGGTTGTGAGCCACCATGTGGTTGCTGGGAATTGAACTCAGGACCTTTGGAAGAACAGCTAGTATTCTTAACCTCTGAGCCATCTCTCCAGCTCCCCAACTTGCTTTATTAGTCACCAGCAACAGAAATCCCAACTAAGATAGTCAGCAACAGTCAGTCACCCACCAACCTGGCGCATGTCCCCCTGGGCTGTGAAGATAATGGCTTCCAGGCCATCATCTGTGTATGGCACTTTTTCCTTTTCGATGACACTCATGAGCCTGGTGAGGACCTGAGCATCGGTGAGCTTGGTGTAGCGGAGCACTGCACAGCGAGACTGGATAGGCTCTGGACGGAGACAGCAGAGTGAGGGCTCCCTGAAAAGGCTGGCTGTTCACCAGGACACAGCTGAGCCAAGGGGCAAACTACCAGATAAGAAGCAAACAAGAAGGCTGGATTCTGAGCTTTGCCGTCCCGCTCTGCAGAGGGTCTTTTTCTCAGTGTCTGTGCTGCATCTGTGTGTTCCCTTACCCCCAATAAATGCCCGTCTTTAGCTGCTTACGAGGAAACAAAAACACCCAGCACTCAGGTCAGGCCTCGCCTCTGGAGTGAACATAGGCCTCAGGACACCCCCCCCCCCACACACACACAATATGTTAGGGCTTGGGGCTGGAGAGATGGCTCAGCAATTAAGAGCACTGACTGCTCTTCTGGAGGACCAGGGTTCAATCCCCAGCACCCACCTGGCAGCTCAGGATTGTAACTCCAAGAGCTGACACCTCCATACAGACACACATCCAGGATAAACACCAATGCACATAAAAAAAAAAAAAAAAAAAGTTAGGGCTTCCGGAGTGAGAGTGAGAAATGGTTGGCCCTTCAGGGAAGACCACAGGCTGGGAGGAGATGGAGCTACACAAGCTCTTTAAACAAGGAACAAGGCAAGAAGGTTAAACCTTAATCTCAACACTTGGGATTACACAGGGCAGCAGGGACAGGAGGATCGAGGTCAGCCTTGCTGCTTGAGACTCAAAAACACAACACCACCAACACCACCAAGGAAAAAAGGACGGACAGACAGACGGACGGACGAGGAAGGGGCTGGGGGCCTAGCAAGATGGTTCAGTGGGTAAAGATGCTTGCCACCAAGAATGACAACCTGGAGCTCAATTCTGGGATCAATATAGATGCTAACTGACTTCTATAAATTATTCTCTGACATCTGGATGCAGGCATACGCCTCCCAACGTGCACTCACGTACACTCGCATAGGCACGAACACATGAAAATGTAATTTTTAAATAAATAGGGGAGCTCCTATTGACATAAGCATTTTGCCCATCTAGGCAGCCATGAGCTAGTAGGAAAAGACACGTGGTAACTAACATGCCTGTGTGAGAACATACACACACAACACGCATGTGCAGAGGGGAAGTGGGGCGAGGTGGCACAGGATGACTCGGGCTGTGCACACAGTGTGCAGCAGGAGGATCTGGATCTGTACCAGCTAACGGGGAGGGTGGTGCTGTGGGCAGCAGCTGGGCTACAGGCCAAAGGGCTCCAGGAGAAGACACTGTGGTGAGGTGGTGGCCTGCCCATAACAGGCAGCAACCAAGCCTAAGGCACAGCTGATGCCAAGGGCTTCAGCACACAAAACAACTAGAGCATGTTCAAGCCGGGAGGGGCACAGGCTTGTCACCCCAGCTCCTCAGGACGCTGAGGCAGGACTGTAGGTTCAAGGCATGCCTGGGCTACACAGTGAGGTCAATGCCAGCCGAGCTATTTAGGGGAGATCAAGTCTCAATCTAAAAGCACAGAAGGCACAGTTAGTAGTACGCATGCCTAAGATCCCTGGGTTGCATCTGCAGTACCATAAAAGAGATAAAAACAGGGCCAGCAAGATGGCTCAGCAAGTGAAGGCACGTGCCAAGTCTGACAACCTGACTTCAATTCCTGGGATCTACACGGTAGGAAACAATCCTGACCTCCATACCTACTCAGGCAAGCACGTGTACACACACACACACACACACACACACACACACACACACACACACACACACACAAAGGGCTAGAGAAACAGAGAACCCAAGTTTGGTTCCTGGCACCCACATCAAGTGGCTCACAACTGCCTGTATCCCTGATTCCAGGGTACATATATTCAGACAGACAGACACAACCAAAAACAAATAATAAAGAAATTAAGTAAACAGAAGGGAGCCTTACTGGAAACAGTAAGCTCACCTATGATTTTGTCGGAAGCATTACAAGCCAGAGCGAAGCGGGTCGTCTTGGAGTAGATCTCCATGGTTCTCCTGAGGGCCTGCTGGGCACCGTCCGTCATGCTGAGGCATAAGAGGGAGGCTGGTGCCAGGTCTGGGGGCAGACTGGAACCCTGAGGCCAGCCTGCCCGACTTGGGGAGACCCACCTCCAGCCCACACCTGTCTGCTTCATCCAGAATGATGATCTTGTGCCGGCCCTTGGGGAGGGTGACCTTCTGCTGGGCAAACATCTTGATTTTATTCCTCACCACGTCGATGCCCCTGAAACAGGAAGAATGCGGGTGTCACAAACCGAGGGACTTTTTATAATCATGGGGAAGGGTTCTACTGTATATGAGTGTGTGTGTGTGCAGGTGAGAAGACGATTTTGAAGACTCAGTTCTCCACCCTGAGTTCTATGGGCTGAAAAAGGGCTCTGAGGCTTGTACAGCAAGGGCGCTTATCCACTGAGCCATCTCAGTGGCCCTAGTTTACTATTTTAATGTGTCTTCGTAGATGCATGACATGTGCTTGGGGGCGGGTTTGGGGTTGTCTATAGAGGCCAAGCAGGAGTGGGCTGAAAAGAAATTCTGGGTCTCTGCAAGAGCAACATGTTCGTTTGTTCTTTCTTTGCTTTTTCGAGACAGGCTCTCACTAAGTGGCCCTGGCTGTCCTGGACTCACTTTGTAGACCAGGCTGGCCTCAAACTCCCAGAGATCCACCTGCTTCTGCCTCCCCGAGTGCTGGGACTTCTCACACACCACTCCCAGTTCACAAGGGACTTGTAAGTCCTCTGTACAGCCCTGAGGGCTACAGAAACTTATTTTAACTGGGGAACATGAGCCGACAGTCACAAACACAGACAAGAAGGTGGACTTGGGCTGCTGTGGCTGCAGAAGGGAAATGAGGCATGCTTGAGGGCAGTTTCAGTTTTACAACGTCAGAAAGCTGTTGCACAAAAACAGGAACATACTAACATGACTGAAGTGGACACCCAAAAGTGGATTCTGGGCCACTGAGGTGGCAGTGGGTGAAGGCACCTGCCGGCAGACCATGCAAGACTGACCTGAATTCAATCCCCAGAACCCACATAAAGGTGGAAGAGATCCGATTCCACATGTCTGTGCTCTGACCTCCACACAGGTGCCATGGACACATGCCACAATACACCTCCCAATATATACCCCTCTCCCAACACCACGGCTGGGGAGACGGCTCTTGTGGTGACCCTCTCAACCTGGTGGAAGGAGAACCACCTGGCCCCCAAGTTGCTCTCTGACCTCCACATGCACATCGAGGGCCCTCCCCACAATAAATAAGCAGCAATAAAACAAAATTTAAAAAGACTAACTTTTGAACATTTTCTTTCTTTCTTTCTTTCTTTCTTTCTTTCTTTCTTTCTTTCTTTCTTTCTTTCTTTCTTTCTTTCCTTCTTTCCTTTCTTTCATGTGCACAGGTGTTTTGCCTGCCTGTATGTCTACATGAGGGTGTCAGATCTTGAAGTTGCAGAGTTGTGAGCTGCCATGTCAGTGCTGGGAAGTGAACCTGTGAGCTCTGGAAAAGCAGTTGGTGCTCTGAACTGCTGAGCCACCTCTCCAGCCCCCACTTTTGAACATTTCAACAAGGAAACAAGGAACCCTGCAAGTGCTCCTCTGACAGGCAATGATTCCCCTGGTGAGTGAGACCAGTGAAGCAAGACCAGGCACGGGCTAGAAGCTAGCAGAGCTTCTAAGTCAGGCACAGCAGGAGGCCTCCACCTTCCCTCCCACAGTACCTGTCATTTGATGCATTGAGCTCCAGAACCGCATCCTTCAGGGCTGGGCCCAGCAGTGCTCTCGCTAAGCAGAGGATGCTGGTGGTTTTGCCGGTTCCTGGTGGACCCTGTGGGTAAGAGCTCCCCTAAGTGTTCCATGCAAGAAGGACCCGGAGGCTGGAGAGATGGCTCAGCAGTTAAGAGCACCAGCTGCTCATCCAGATGACCTGGTTCCATTCCCAGTGCTCAAAACTGTGTCCAGTTCAGGGGCTCCATCACCCCCACCCCAACCCTGCAGGGCACCAGGCGTGCACACGATGCAAACACAGATGCAGGCCAGACGACCATACATGTAAAAGTGAATTCATTTCAGAAAGGATTGTCACGTGGTCTCGCTGCTCCCCCACCCCGTTAGCACTTGCTCCCTTGACCCCCCAACAACCCAGCAAAGGTCCTGTGGGTTTCCCCAAGGGATGTGAGATGGCCACAGGGCCAGTCCCAAGTACTCACAGCGATGATGATATTGGGCACATTGCCTTCTTTCGCAAAGACCTGAGTAAAAGGTTCATTAAGTTAGGTATAGCAGTGTTTGCTTCTAGTCTTAGCACTGAGGAGGTTGAGGCAGGAAGATCAGAAACTCAAAAACCAGTTTAGGCTACCTATCAGAACCCTGTCTCAAAAACAAAAACATAGCTGGAGAGTGGTAGCTCAAGCCTTTAATCCTAGCACTTGGGAGGCAGAGGCAGGTAGATTTTTGTGAGTTAGAAGGCAGCCTGGTCTACATAGCAAGTTTCAGGCCAGCCAGGACTACACAGTGAGATCCTGTCTCATAAAAGCTAACAAGCAAAAAACTCAAAAATATGGGCAGGAGAGCTGGCTCAGAGGTTAAGAGCACTGGGTATTCTTCCAAAGGTCCTGAGTTCAATTCCCAGCTACCACACAGTGGCTCATAACCACTCTATAATGAGATCTGGTGTCTTCTTCTGGCATGTAGGCAGAACACTATACATAATAAATAAATAAATCTTAAAAAATAAAACAAAACAAACAACAAAAACAAGCCAGCAAGATGGCCCAGCAGATAAAGGCACTTGCAAAGGTTAAGAGGCTGAGTTCAATCATCCATAATTAGGCCCCACAGGGTGGTAGAAGGGAACAGAACCTCATCTCCACTGAGGTCAGAAGACCCACCTGAGGGCTGGGGTCCTGGACTCAATGCAATGGAGAAATTGAGCTGAGTCAGCAGCAGCACCCATCTCTCTGCTTCCTGAAGGCAGAGGCCATGTGTGCAGCGCCCGCTGCTCCTGCCACCACGCCTTCCCCACCATGACAGACTGTGCACCCCCAGCTGTGAGCCAAAGCCAAACCAACCCTTCTTTGCTTCACTGCTGTTTATCAGGCACTCTGTCACCCCAGGGAGGAATAGCTGACGTAGCCTCTCCTTCGCCATCTCAGCCATCTTTCTCCAATCGCCACAAGCTTATCCACAGTATGATTCAAACGGGCTCACAGAGTTCCTTACCTCCAACCTGCTCACTGTGTCTTCATTTCCCACTATTTCATTGAGCTTTACTGGTCTGTATTTTTCAACCCTGGTTGAGGAAACAACAAATATTGACGTGGTTATCCTCGGAGTACCCAGAAAACAGGGCAGGAAAGGGCAAACCCTGTAATTCTGACACAGTGGGCCATGTTGCCTGGAAGGTCAACACAGAGAGGCTGAGCCAGGACGACTCGAGTTCTAGGCCAGCCTTGGCCACACACACAAACTGCCTCAAAGACAAAGTAAGAAGAAACCAGCAAGATGGCTCGGCAAGTTAAAGAACTCATGACAAAGCTAGTCAGCTTTAGTTCAATTGACAGAACCAAGATGGTGGAAGAAGAGAACTGACGCCCCCACATTACACTACAGGACTTGGATGTTTGGCATAGACCTCCACAAAATAAATAAATAATCAGGCTGGAGAAGCAGCTCAGTGGTTGAGAGCACTGACTGCTCTTCCGGAGGACTGGGGTTCAATTCCTAGCACCCACATGGTAGCTCGCAACTCTTTGCGATTCCAGTTTCAAGGGATCCACCCTTAGACAGAAATATATGCAGGCAAAACACCAATGCACACTAAAAAAATTTAAATAATCAGCCATGAGTAGCTGCAACCCCAGGCATCTTGGGGGTGGAGGTAGGAGGTTCAGAAGTTCAAGGTTATCCTTGACCACATAACAAGTACAAGGCTAGTCCGGTCTAAATGAGACACTCAATAATAATCATAATCATAAATAATGGCTATAGAGATAACTCAGTGGTTAAGTCAGCTTGCTGCTGCAGAAGTCTGGGTTCAACTTCTAGCATCCACACAATGGCTCACAACTTCCTGAAACTTTAATTCCCAGAGATCCGAGGCCCACCCCTGGCCTCTCTATGTCTGCATGCACACAGTGCCCATACATACACAAGAGAAAACACATAAAATGAATCTCAAAAGACCAAAACTAAAGCCAAAAAAGGAGTCAGCAAGATAGCTCAGTGGGTAGAAGTGCCTGCCTACAGGCCTGAGCAGCTGAGTGCAATCCCTAGGACCCACACAAGAGAAGAGACTCCTAGAGGTTGTTCTCTGACTACCTCCAAATGGGCACCATGGCAGGTGCAAGAGGCTCCCCTTTCCCCCATAAAGAATTGCAAAAACAAAAAGGGTTAAATGAAAAAAAGGTAATAACAGATTATTTGCTATGAACTGGCTCCCCCTCTGGCCAGTCCACACAGTGGAGGGAGCCCCAGGGTACCCCGTGCTTTCTGTCTAGCTAGCCCTGATGCACGTGACAACCATTTGCAGGACCTGGCAGGTGCACCCGCTTCTGTCACACGGGATGAAGTGCCGCACGCCCAGGTGTCTAATGGCCCACATGGGCTACTGTACCAGAATGCCAATGCTTGGCGCTCTAGAGCAGCAATTGGTGGTTGGAGGCTATGACCACGAATCCTGTGTGGGCAGCGTTTAAGCAATTTTGAAATGGTCCTTGGACACTTCACTTAAAATATTGTCCTCTCAGGGCTGAAGAGATGGCCAGTGCTTAAGAGCACTGTCTGCTCTTCCAAAGGACCCAGGTTCAATTCTTAGCACTTACATGGCAGGTCACAACCATCTATTAACTCCAGTTTCAGGAAATGTGATGCCTTCTCTGAGGACACTGAACATACCCATTGACATAAAGAAAAAAAAAAAGGTGCCTATTTATGGACAGGGTCTCATGTAGCCCAGGCTAACCAGAAACTTACTATGTACGACTTTGAACTCCCCACTCCTCAGCCTCCACCTCCCCAGGCAGGTCTAGGATTACAGGCACGAATCACATATCCCGTTTATGAGGTGCTGGGGATGGAAATGTGGGCTTTCTGAATGGCAGGCGAGCACCCTATCGACTGCGCCACACCTCCAGATAGCCTACAACTCATGATCCTTCTATTTCAGCCTCCTGACCACTGAAGTTCTGCCTTCTAAATAAACAAGCAACGTTACACGAGAGGACAGCGCTTTCCCAGCTCCGCACACACATGCAGTAGTAATTTAATTTACCATGATCTGACCATCAAAGCTTCCTTTACTCTTATACTCTTTTCTTTTCTTTCTTTCTTTTTGGAGACAGGGTTTCACCATGTAGTCCTTGCCAATCTGGAACTCCCAACACAGACCAGGTTATGTTAAACTCAGAGATCCACCAACTCCTGCCTCCTGAGTGCTTTATGTTGTTTTAAGTATATATCCATGTTTATTATCTGCGTGTGCCACAGCTCAGGTGTGGAGCGCAGAGAACTTTGGGATGTAGCCAGTGATGACCTAACAGGTGGCTGTCCACTTTCTTTTTACTTATTTCTGTGGCTGCCAGACAATGCTGAATTACACACATGTGCTCTCTCTACATCTATTTTTTGAGTGCTGGGGATGGAACTCTGGGGCCTCCTCATGCCAGGCAAGTGTTCTGCCACTGGGCAGCATTTCCAGCTAGCCTAATGTTTTCCCTAGTATTATTCTAGATCAGCGGTTCTCAACCTGTGGGCACAAGCCCTTGGGGACTGATGAATGAGCTCTTTAGCAGGGGTTGCCTAAGACCACCAGTAAACACAGATATTGACATTACAATTCATAACAGCAGCAAAATTACAGTTCTGAAAGGGTCACAGCATTAGGAAGGCTGAGAACCACCGATCTAGACAGTCCAGATACTTCAGTGAACTAAGGAAGCTCTGCTGTCAAGGTTTCTCTGTGTAGCCTTGGCTGTCATAGAATTCACTCTGTAGACCAGGCTGGCCTCAAACTCAGAGGTCCACCTGCCTGTGCCTCCCAAGTGCTGGGATCAAAGCCTTGCGCCACCAGTGCCTGGCTGAAGCTGATACTTATTTTAGATGAGATTTTAATCAAATAATTAAAAAAAGGAAGTGGCTATTAGCAGCCATTAGTCAAGTTCAAGCATCACTCGGACAGGTCAACTCCGAGCCAAAGATCCCTCAATTTCCATAACTAAAAATCTCTACCTGTGCCTGGTGGCTCACACCTGTCATTCCAGCCCTTGGGAAGCTGAGGAGCCATCACTGCTGAAAGTTCAAGACCAGCTTGGGCTGCACAGTGAAACCCAGGGCTGTGAATGAGACTCAGTTCCTGGAGTGCTTGCTTAGCATGCACGAGGCCCTGTGTTCCATTCGCAGCACTGCTTTATGGAAGTAACGCACGCCCAAGGCGGTAGAAGGATCAACAGTTCAAAGTCATCCTCTGCTACATACTGAGTTCGAGACCAGCCTGAGTTATACAAGACACTGCTTCAAACAACCCAACTTCAAAAAGAAAAATGAAAATCTGCACTCCTGGGGGACGTCTGCACCTTCGGTGTCCCCCGGACCCAGCCCGAAGCCGGGTCCCTGGAGCTCGGCCCGCCCTCGCTCGCCATCACCTCCACGCGCGCGCTACTATGGCCGCGCGCTCACCACGGCAGCTCGTAGTGGCCGGCGCCGCCCGCGGTCTTGCTGGGGACAGACGAGGGCTCCTGCGCCCCACTCTCGGCCCCGCCGCAACCGCTCTCCTGTACCTCCATTCCGAGCCCTGCTTTTCGCGCCACCCGAAGCTCCGCCCCGTGACGCCCTCACGGAAGTCTCGGCCCTGGTTTCCGGGCAACGCGGGGAAGGAAGCGGAAGTGTGTGTTGGGGGCAGGACAGGCGGGGGAGGAGGCGGGGCGGGAAAAGGCCGCGTTTTCCCGCGCCTGCGCAGAGGAGCAGCGTAGCCACGCACTGGCCGCTAGGGGCCGCTGTAGCTACGGGAGCCCGAGTTTGAGGGAAAAGGAGAGAAAACGGTGAGATCAGGGCAGGTGTTTCTAGGAGGGGACTTTTTCCAGGCTGTGCTGGAGCTCGCTCTGAGACCAGGCTCACAGAGATCCACGTACCCCTGCCTCCCCAGTGCTGCGGTAAAAGATGTGCGCTACCACTGTCTGGCTCATCTTATTTATAATTGTACTATATTAATTTCTCTTTCTTTTTACTTTCTTGTTGTTTGGTTGTTGTTTTTATTTGTTTGTTTGTTTGTTTCAAGAAAGTGTTTTCCCGTGTAGTCCTGGGTGTCCTGGAACTACTGTGTAGACCAGGTCTGGGGAGAGGCTCAGTGGTTGGCACTTGCTGATCTTGTGGAGGACCTGAGTTTGGTTTGCAGCACCCGCAGCAGGCTGCTTACAGACATTTGTAACTCTGGCTCCGGGGATCCGACACCCTGTTCTGGACTCTGAGGGCACCTGCACTCGCATGCACATACCAACACATGAATACACATAATTACACTGTTTGGTTTTTCCAGACAGGGTTTTTCTTTGTAGCCCCGGCTGTCCTGGAACTCACTCTGTAGACTCAGCTGGCCTCGAACTCACAGATCTGCCTGCCCCTGCCTCGTGAGTGCTGGGATTAAGAGCATTCACCATCACAGCCTGGCTAAAATAAGTATTTTTAAAGGATACTTTTCAGGGACAGGCTTGGTGGCACAGGCCTTTAACTCCAGCACTCAGGAGCAGAAGCACATGGATCTTTGTAAATTCAAGGCGAGCCAGAGCTACATAGTGAGACCATGTCAAAAAACAAACAAACAAACAAAAAAAAACTCCACCACCAACAACAACAAAAAAGAAAACAACTCAAGATAATTCCTGGCCAGGCATGGTGGTACACAGCTGCCATTCTAACACTAACAAGACAAAAGCAGAAGGGTAGTGACTTCTTGGCCAGCCTGGGACTACACAGGGGAGACTGTGTCTCAACAAAACAACACAGCAAAAGCTGACGTGACACATACCTGTAGCCTCAGCACTTGGGAGATGGAGGCCAGCCTGAGGCACACAAGATTTCTGTCTCAAGGAAATAACAGGCTCATGTCAGAAGCCTGGTTCTATCTGTTAGGAAACATTCGGCACCAATGTAATGTTATTAAAAAAAAGCATGAGGCTGGTCAACCGAGGTTTATTAGGAGGGTATGGAGGGAGGGGAGAGCAGGACATGAAGAGAGAGAGAGATAAAGAAGAGAGGAGAGTAAGAGTGTAAGAGTAAGAGAGTGTAAGAGTTAGAGAGTAAGAGAGAGAGTGTAAGAGACCACCTGTCGGGGTCATCCCTTTAAGGGGCAAGGTAACCACGACTTTCAGGTGTGGCCACCTGGCTGGTGACACATAGGTTGCTGGGTAACCCAGGAGCAGGTGGTGTTCCAAAATACTAACATTATCACCCCCACCAAGAAAAAAAAAGCATTTTTCCCCAAGGTGGCATTTCAAGTGTTAAGGCTGGTGATTCCCAAACAGGCGTGCCCTCCTGTTAGCAACCTCAGCAAAGCGCTTGTTTAGTCTGCCTGCCCAGACACATTCCACCAAGCCAAGCACAAAGGTCTTCATTTGAACTCTTTAGGTAAACATTAACAGTTTTGAACGGCTTGCCTTTCTTTTTGGTATTGTTAAGACAGAGTCTCTCTGTGTAGTCCTGACTGACCTGGAACTCGCTATGTAGACCACGTTGGACTTGAACTTGAAGAGATCCCCCTCCCCACCTTGTCCTTAGAATGCTGAGATTGAAGGCTGCCCCACCACTTTGGCCATGCTTTGCCTTCTTGCTTCCTCTTTAATAAGAAAACAAGTCGAGAACTTGCCCACATGGGCACAGAGGACAGATTTCATGTTCCAGGATGTGGGGTGACCTTTGAGACCTCAGCTGTGGGTGGTCTGTCGAGCTCCGGTCCAACTCAGGGGGATCATGGAGCTGTTGGCTTTTTTTCTGCCCAGAGTGAGCATGTCCCCACTGACCCAGCCGGGCCGATTCCTCTGCGGAGCAACACCAGGCTTGGACAAGGTGTGTCTCATGAATCCCTCTGCAAATGACTGCTGAGAGAGAAAGGGGAATGCCTCCTCCTTTGTTTCTTGTTTGTTTGTTTGTTGTTGTTTCAAGACAAGGTCTGATTATGTAGCGCTGGCTGTCCTGGAACTCACTTTGCAGAGCAGGCTGGCCTCAAACTCACAGAGACCTACCTGCTTCTGCTTCCTGGGAATGCTGTGAGTCAAGGCATGCACCACTATGGCCTTGAACGTCTGAACCCTTGCCTTTACCTCTGGAATGCTGGGATTAGAGACATGCATCACTGCACCTAATTTACGCATCGCTGGGGATAGAACCCAGGGCTTCATGCGCCTGGGCAAGGGCTTTTACCATCGAGACACCTCGGACTGGTTTAAGTTCTTGTTTTCTCTTGAGGCTGAGTGGCAGTGGCTTCAAGCTTGTCCTGCCTACAGCACACATCTCTTTCAGTGTGTTACTGTGTGTGGATTGTTTGTATTTAATTTCTGTTTTCTAGGACTTAACTATCTACTGATTTTTTTTTTCTCAGCAAAGCTTAATGGGTTCTGGAGAACACCTTGTCAGTTTCCTTCTTTTGTTTTTTTGTTTTTTTGTTTGTTTGTTTGTTTGTTGGAAGACAGGGCTTCTCTGTGCAGCCTTGGCTGTCCTAGAGCCGCTTTGTAGACCAGGCTGGCCTCCAGCTCACAGAGATCCGCCTGCCTCTGCCTCCCCGAGTGCTGGGATTGCAGGTGTGTGCCTCTGCATCCAGCTTCCTTTCTTTTTTTAAAAAAAGAGGTTTCTGTTGTTTTCAAAGAGATGTATTTATTGTGTACACAATGTTTTGCCTGCATATGTGCCAGAAGAGGGCGTTAGATCTCATTGTAGATGGTTGTGCGCCACCATGTAGTTGCTGAGAACTCAGGACCTCTCAAAGAACAGACAGGGCTCTTAACCTCGGAGCCATCTCTCCAGCCCCTCTATTTTTTATTTTGTGTGTGTGGATGTTTTGCCTGCATGCATATAAGTACATTCCCAATTCTAGGTGTTCATGTTGGCCAGAAAAAGGCATTAGAGCATGGAAGTTACAAACGACTGTGAGCTGCCATGCGGGTGCTGGGAATCAAACCCTGGTCCTCTGGAAGAGCAGCCAGTGCTCTGAACCACTGAGCCATTTCTCCAGCCCCAACCTTGTCAGTCTATAATGACATCTTGGAAGTTTGCACTTCTTCACTCAGAATTTGGTTCTAAAGACCCCTCTCACAGAAATGTTTGCCTGAGAGTTGGTAAGGTGGCTCAGTGCTTAAAGGTGCTTGTTTACAAGCCTGGTGGACCCAAGTTCAGTCCTCAGCACTCACATGATTGGAAGGAGAGAAATGACTCGTGCAAGTTATCTTCTGACCATCGTAGTGTGCTATGGTGCATGCATACATGGACATGTATACATACAACACATGCACATTAAATAAAATAAATGCTTGCACAGACAGATGTAAATAGGTATATGTGCTAGAATGTTGTACTAGAATATGAACTAGAATGTTCACTAAAATGGTTCAGAGGGGAAGACAAAATGAAATAAGCATTAGAATGGGTAGAGAAATGATATCCTCATTCTTTATAGTCACTAAATACTGAAAGCCATCTGTCTACCTGCACTGACAAGGAAAAATCTCCATATCTTTCCAAAAAAGTCACAGAGAAACTATGGGAGTGGTTCTGAGAATCCCCAGTGAGGGGCTGGGGTGTGGCTCAGTGGTAGAGCACCTGCCTAGAATCCCCCAATGAGGGGCTGGGGTGTGGCTCAGTGGTAGAGCACCTGCCTAGAGTCCCCCAGTGAGGGGCTGGGGTGTGGCTCAGTGGTAGAGCCCCTGCCTAGAATCCCCCAGTGAGGGGCTGGGGTGTGGCTCAGGGGAAGACCATTTGCCTAGAATCCTAAATTGACCTCAGAGTCACTATGTAACTTGGGATGGTCTTAAACTTTTGATCCTCTTGCCTCTTGCTCACAAATGCTAGAATTACAAGTGTCTAGCACACATGCTCCGCTCCTTTTAAGGTTTACTTTTAAGAGTATGTTTTCATAAGGTCTGATTAGGGCTGTGCATCTGTGGATGGGGGTGTGCACTTGAATGCCAGAAGAGAAAATTCTATCCTCTGGATTTGGAGTCGCAGACAGTTGTGAGCTAAGAACTGGACTCAGGTCTTCTACAAAAGCTACAAGTATTCTTAACCTTGAGCCATCTCTCCAGCTCTCTCTTTTTCTTAAAATTCATTTTGATTATTATTTTAAATTCTGTATGTGTGTGTGTGTGTGTGTGTGTGTGTGTGTCTGCATGTGTCTGTGTGAGGTGTGTGCATGTGAGTGCAGTTGCCAGTGGAGGCCAAAGGCTATGGCCCTCCTGGAGCTGGGATTCCACATGGCTGCGAGCTGACGTATGTGCTGGCCATAGGACTCAAGATCTATTGCAAAAGCTGTTTGTGCTCTTACCACCGAGCCATCTCTCCAGCCGCTCCCCGCCCCCCAGCCCTTTTTAAAGTCATGCTAGAGACGAAAGCCAGGGTTTCATGCACCCTAAACTAACACTGTGATCCATGAGCCACGTGGATTACATGTGTATGTTTTCTCTAATCCCAACAGTCTCAGTGTGTGGGCCTTACTATATGAAGGATTCCCAGCCAGCCCGCCGGCAGCAGAGTCCTGGCCTGCCCCAGCATGTGTGCACACACCCAGGCAAGGCGCGCCACACTCAGTGCTGCCGGAGGGCATGCATTCCAAGAAGCAAGTCACAGGAAGTAATGTTCTCCTCATACCTAGCTTGCTAGGTGTGGGCTGTACACGTGTAAGCCTAGCTACTCTTTCAGATCCCAGACTTTTTTCTGTGCCTTTTTTATTTTTTTGCAAATAGGTCTTTCTTATTATGGAGTCCAAGTTGCCTTCAAAATTGTGATCTTCCGGCCTCAGTCTTCTTAGTGCTGCTGGGTGCAGTTCCTCGGGGGTGCTGTGATGGAGCAAGCCACCTGAGGGCTGAGCTGGAAGGGGAGAAACAGTGAATTCATAGCCAGGGGCATGGTGATCCATACCAAAGCCCCAGCGACTCAAGGGGACAGAGGGATGGCGAGTTCAAAGCCAGCCTGGGCAGCGTAAACAGGTCTGTCTCAAAAAATAAGAGCACTGCCGTGATGGCTCAGTAGGTGAGGGCACTTGTCGCCAACCCTGAAGACTCGAGTTTGATGTCATAGACACACTTGGTGGAGGATAGAAGTGACGCCACTACCATGCACACACATATTTATATACAGATGTGAGGCAAATAAATAAATGGTGGAAAGCTGGGGATTTAGCTCTGGGGCAGAGCACTTGCCTGGCAGCCCCCAGAGAGGGGCTGGGGACATGGCTCAGCTGTTCAGTGTCCGCCACTTATGAAGCTCCAAGTTTTATCCCCAAAGAACAAAACAGAAACCTACCCACTCGTGGCTGGGCTCATGGCCAAACCTTTAACCAAGAGTTGTTGCCTGTCCCATTGAAAATGGTATTGGAAATTTGAAGATTTCTGTTTAAGAATTGTTTTTCCCTTTTGGGTTGGGCCCATGCCTTGTGCTAGCCCAGTGATCTATTTATGTTTTTCCTTATTTTTATTTCATGAGTGTATTTTTCCCACATGTATGTCTGTGTGCCACATGCATACAGTGCCCTACGATACCAGAAGAGGATGTCAGATCCCCTGGAATTGAAGTTACAGATGGCTGTGAGCCACCGTATGGGGGCTGGCGTTTAAACGCAGGTCCTCTGGAAGAGCAATAGTACTGAAAGAGAGAGGGTTGCTGAGCCCTCTCTCCTGCCTCCCAGCCCCACCCCTTACCTCCTTCCCTTTATTTTTATTTCAGGACAGGGACTCACTAAGTTACCTACGTTTTTTTTTTTTTTTTTTAACCTATTTTTGTATTATTGTTATTATTGGTTTTTCGAGACAGGGTTTCTCTGTATAGTTCTGGCTGTCCTGGAACTCACTCAATAGAGCAGGTTGGCTTCAAACTCATAGAGATCTGCCTGCTTCTGCCTCCCAAGTGCTGGGAGTAAAGGCTTATGGCCCCACCACCCAGCTTATTTTGTTTTTTTTTTAAGACAGGTTTCTCTGCTCTACAGAGTGAGTTCCAGGACAGCCAGGACTAAAATAGAGGAACCCTGTGTCAAGAAACAAACAAACAACACAAAAAAGAGTAGGTTCTCATGTAGCTCAAGTTGGCCTAGAAGTATGTGGCTGAGGCTGACCTTGAACTCCTGACCCTCCTGCCTCCACATTCTGAGTGCTGGGATGGCAGATACACACAGTCACACCTGGGTTTTGCTGTGTGGGGATGGGGTGTAGGGACTCATGCATCCTCCACTGCACATTGAGTTTGAGGTCTTGCTTGGCAACATGACACTTGTCTCAAAGAAAGAAAAGATAGGGCTGGGCATGGTGGTTCATTCAATCATAGCACACTCCCCAAGGAGAGGCAGGTGGAGCTCCGAGTTTGAGCATAGCCTGCTGGACAGAGTCAGTACTGGCTGATCAGGCCTACAAAGTGAGACCCTGTTCTCAAACAAACAAACAAACAAACAAAAACCAAGAAATATGGGGAGGGACTCAACATGCTTCATATATTGGTAATTAATAGCAGCCGGGTACAAGAGAATCAATTTTTGTTCTCTTTTCGATTTATTTTGGGGTGTGTGTGTGTGTGTGTGTGTGCAGATGCTCCAGGGGGCCAGGAAAGGCCTGAGATCTCCTAAAGCTGGAGTTACAGGCAGTGGTGAGGCACCACTGGGAACTGAACTCTGTCCTCTGGAAGAGCAGCAAACACCCTTAATGACTGAGCCATCTCTCCAGCTCAGAGTCAGCTTCTTCCTGTGCATGGCCTCTGTTAGGCTGCCCATGCTCTAGTGGATGCGCCGTACCTAGGCACGTGTGGGACCACTAACTGAACTCAGTGAGGTATCAAAGAGCAAAAGGGTATGAAGAGGGGAGTGGGGCCTGAGGGACTCAGGGAAAGATGGTGAGTGGGTGGATATGACCAAGGAACACTGTATACATGTGTGATACTGACAAAGCTTAAGATGCTCCAAGGCGGAGGCTCGCGACCTTCCACATGCTGCGACCCTTTCATACAGCTCCTCATGCTGTGGTGACCTCCAGCCATAAAATTATTTTGTTGCTACTTCAAAACTGTAATTTTGCTACTGTTATGAATTGTAATGTAAATATCTGATATGAAGGATATCTGCTATGTGAAAAAAGAGAAAGACAAAACCAAAAACGCTATGGCACATGTTTTTAACTGCAGTTCTGAAGAGGCAAAGACAGGTTAGATGGCCAGGCAGCCTTCCCTACTTGGTGAGTTCTAGGCCAGTGATATTAAAAAAAAAAAAAAAAAAAAAAAAAAAAAAGTCAGGGGCTGGAGAGAAGTTTAAGCAGTTAAGAGCATTTGCTGCTTTTGCAGAGGACCCAGGACCCGTCAGCACCCACATGGCGGCTCACAGCCACCCTTCACTCTTGTTCCAGAGGAACTGGCTCTCCTGGCTCCCCCAGGCACCGGGCATGCATGTGGTGGACATACATACACGCAGGCAAAGGATTCAGACCCATAGAATAAAAAAATAAAATTTCAATGCCTTATAGATGCCCCCCAAGACAGGGTTTCTCTGTGTAGCCCTGGCTGTCCTGGAACTCTGGCCTCGAACTCAGCTGCCACTACCAGCTATAGCTGGCTCTTATGGAGGCATTCTCTTTCTCTGTCTCTATTTATTTGTAATATTATGGGCATTGGCATTTTGCCTCTTTGAAAACCAAAACAATGATGGGGCTGAGCAGGAAAAGAGCTTGCCACTGGGAATGACAGCCTGAGTTCAATCCCCAAAACTCACACAAGGAAAGAGACAACTTAGTCGTTCTTCAACTTTCACACTCTTCTGTTAGTTCCTGTGTCACACACACGCACACACGTGCTCGCACACACACACATTCAAACAAATAAGCCTTCGAAAGCTTTTCTTAAAGATACATTGGTGGGCAGGGTGTTGATGGCGGAGGATTTCAATCCCAGTACTCAGAAGGCAGAGGCAGGAGAATCTCTGTGAGTTCAAGGCCAGCCTCTTCTACAGAGTGAGTCCAGGACAGCCAGGGCTACAGAGAGAAACCCTGTCTTTTTGTTTTGTTTGTTTGTTTGTTTGTTTGTTTGAGACAGAGTTTCTCTGTGTGGCCCTGGCTATTGGAGACTCACTGGGATTGCAGGTGCGTGCCACCGTGCGCAGCCGAATCCCTGTCTTGACCCCTCCCTCTTCTGCGGAAGATACATGCAGAGAATGTAGCCCAGTGGGGGGTGGTTGCCTGAAGTGCTTGGAGCGCTGGCTGGCCTTCATGCTCAGCAGTGCACAAAACCCACCCACAGCATTCCATGCCTGTGGTCTCAACGCTAGGGGAGCTGACGACAAGAGGGTCAGGATTTACTGGTCATCCTCTGCTACCGAGTGATTTCAAAGCCTTTACAACCAAATGAGCCCAGCCAGATGTGGTGGCACATGCTTTTGATCGCAGCGCTTGGGGAGGGAAAGTCAGGCGGATCCCTGTGTGTTCCAGGCCAGCCTGGTCTCCAAAGTGAGAAGAGGACAGCCAGTGCTACATAGAGAAACCCTGTCTTGAAAAACAAACAAACTAACTAACAAACTAAACCTACATGACTCAAAATGAGATCCATCTTCAAAATGGAGGTGTCCCAAGACAGGTCTGACAGTAATACTGCAGGGACTGGGGCAGAAGGATTGACACAAAGACTTTCTCAAAACCACAGCAAGGCCAAACAACAAACCCAAGGCACAGAGGGATAAAGGGAACCATACTGCCTGAAACGAGCTGGTGCTGAACTACAGCACAGTTGGCAGAGCCTAGCGCACACAACACCCTGGGTTCAGTCCTAGGCGCTGTATAAACTGGGCAAGGTTGGAGCTGGGTGTGATCTCAGGATTCAGGAGGGAGCGGAGGGAGGATCCAAAGTTTCAAGCCATTCTAAGTTTATGGGGAATCAGGGGTCCAGCCTGGGCTATGTGAGACCCTGTCTGAAAACAGAATGAGCTTCCTGAGCAGTCTGGGCTATGGGACCTGCCCTTCCGGATCCCTCCAGCTAGCGTACAGTGGTGGGGGTGGGCCGTCTATGGGGGCCTGTATACCAAGAGGCTCAGACCAGGAACTTCCCTCTTCGCTCATTTCCCGTTTCTCACACAAAGCTCACGAGGCAGAGTGACTGTGGGAGGACATCCCTGTTGAGCAATTACTTTTTGGAAGCTGGTGCAGAAAGCTCAAAGCCCCCTTGGGACCTAGTGAATGGTTGTGACAGGGGAACATCTCGAGAGGAGACCGAGGTGACTTGGATATGGTGTGGGGTGGAACTCTTTTGGAGATGGGTGAGCCTCCTCTGCCTCCCAGGCCACCAGTTTCCTCAGGAAGCAACCCCCACCCTCCAAAAAGCCAAGTTAACCCCAGAGAGGCACACTAGTGACGCTGGCTACAGGACATAGATCTGGGTCTAGCGATCTGGTGGGCATCACTTCCTGCCCCCAGAGGGACCAGGGGGACTCCGTGGCTGGAATTTCCACAGCTGCCATGGGGGAACTGCAAGGATTCGGGATAAAGCCATCCCACCTGGTCCGGCTGTGAGGCAGCCACAAGCTGAGGCAGGGTGGCCAATGCCTATGAGCCCAGCACTTGGGATGTGGTGGCAGGAGGATCAGGGCTTCAGCCTCACCTTTGCCTAGACAGTGAGTTCCAGGACACTCTGGGCTACAGGAGACCTAGAAAAAGAAAAGAGAGAGAGAAAGAAAGAAGGCAAGGAGTCAGCATACGTGTTGGGAGGTAGAACTGCCTTGCCTAGATACCGCCCCACTCCTCCTAGATACCCCCCACCCCTCCACTGCCGCCCCCATATTCTGCACTCCTACAGCTAGGTACAAGAAGGGGGAGCTACTGAGAGTAGGAACAAGGCTGCTGTGAGAACCTTTATGAGAGTCTGGAGAGATGGCCTAGCGGGTAAGAGCACTAGCTGCTCTTCCTAGAGCACCCAGGTTCAATTCCCAGTACCCACATGGTAGTTAACAACTGTCTGTAACCCCAGTTCTCCAGGCTCCGACACCCTCACACAGACACACAGGCACATGAAATATAAAGAAATAAAACTGTTAAGAAAGAACCATTATGGGAATCTAAATCAGCTGGGGGAAGGGGAATGAAGGGTTACGAGGGCAGAATTCAAAAGAGGGCTAAAGAATATTCCTGGTCTCACTTCAAGGACACTGGAATCCCAAACCCGAGCTCCGAACACCGGTACATCCGCCCCAAGGTGGAGGTGAGCTTGTCCCCAAGTAAGCATTGCCCCAGGCATCGCAGCTTTGGACAGCCCCTGCTCAAATATCACCTCTTTCTTGAACGCCCATCTGCAAATATTTACATCCTGTTTATGCCACGGCTCCCAGGGCCTCAACTTTCATGAATAAAATATAAGCTTGTGGGCCCAGCTTAGAAGTGAAGAAACCCAGGCCAGCCAGCTGGTAGGGACCGGAGTGGTGGTTTAGTATTATGGTTGCTGTCGTCTCCCGTGTGGGATTTCAAGGGGCTTTTCATCTGTGGTCAAGGAGACCAGAGGCTGGAGATTTTTGTAGCATTTTCTGTGTTTCTTAGCCATTTCCTGGAATTAGACCATCGAGCTTTGTTCACGGGTCTGTTACCAGAGGAAACACTTTTTGTTTTCTTTTTCTTTGGTTAGGTTTTTTTTTTTTTTTTTCTCCCTATTCCTTTAAAAACATCTATTTTATTTACTTTTTTTGTGTGTGTTTGTTTGTTGACAGAGTGTCATGTAGTCCAAGCTGGCCTGGAACGCAGATCTGAAAATGACTTTGAACTTCAGCCCCTCCTGCCTCCATCGCTGTCGGTGATGATCACAGGTCCATACCACTGCTCCCAGCTCTGGGATGCCTGTGAGGAACCAGGGCTTCCTGCCTGGTAGACAAGCACTCCACCCGATGAACTCCAGTCACAGCCCTTGTTAAATTTTGTTTTGTTTTTTTGAGACAGGGTTTCTCTGTGTGGCCCTGGCTGTCCTGGACTCACTCTGTAGACCAGGCTGGCCTGGAACTCAGAGATCCACCTGCCTCTGCCTCCCAAGTGCTGGGATTAAAGGTTGTTTTGTTTCTTGTATTCTTTTATTTTGTGTGTGTAAGTGTTTTGCCTGCATGTCTGCCTAGGCACTGCATGCAGCGGCCCTGGAGGCCAGCAGAGGGCGTCAAATTCCCTGGAACTGGCATTACAGTCAGTCGTGAACCACAGTGTGGGTGCTGGGAACCAAACACGGGTCATCTGGAGGAGTAGCCACCGCTCCTAACTGCTGACTCACTTCTCCGGGCCCTTGTTTTTGTTTTTATTTTGCTTTGGTTTTCTTTTTGGTTTTTCAAGGCAGGGTTTCTCTGTGTCGCTTTGGTTGTTTTTTTGTTTTTGATACAGTTTCACTTCAGCCTCCTGAACTCACAGACACCCCACCCTCACCCCTGCCCCAAACCCTGGGACTAAAGGAGTGGCCCTCTGGGGCTGGAGAGATGGTTCAGTGGTTAAGAGCACTGATTGCTCTTCCAGAGGACCTGGGTTCAATTCCTAGTGCCTAAATGACAGTTCACAACTGTCTGCAGCTCCAAGAGCTGACACTCTCATGTAGGCTAAACATAAAATGAATTGCCTGGCAGTCCTGGTTTATCTCAGAGGTAGGGTCTCAGCCTCGGCACTCAAGGGGAGGTCAGAGGACAACCTTTAAGAGTCAATTCTCTCTTTTCAGCTTGTGGGGTTCCAGGGCTAGAACTCAGGTGGTCAGGCTTGACAGTAGGCTCTTCCCCGCTGAGCCACCTTATCACCCACTAGTACAACCTTTATTTTATTTATTTATTTATTTATTTATTTTTGAGACAGAGTCTTACCTAGCCCAGGATGACCTTGAACCTACTATGTAGCTGAGGATGACCTTGAACCTTCTGAACTTCCTGCCTGCATGTCCTAAATGCATTGTCCCTCCCCCTTTTAATAGACAGGATCTCAATAAAGCTCAGGCTGGCTTTGAACTCATGATTCTTCTGTTTCTGTCTGCTGAGTACTTGGATTATGTGTATGCTACCATGCCCTTCTTAAAAAAAAAAAGACATTTTATTTGTGTGTGTGTGTACGTGTGTACCGTGTGAGTGCAGGTACTGAGGGCAGAAGAGGTGTAGGATTCTTTTGAGCTGAAATTACAGGAGATTGCTAGCTGCCAGACTTGGTTGCTGGGAACCCAATTCAGGTCCTCTGCAAGAGCAGCAAGGACTCTGAACTGCTGAGCCATCTTTCCAGCCCTGCTTTTAATTTTAATTTTAGTCCAAATAAAAAGTATTCCACATTTCCCTCATTTTTAAAGTGACCTCACAGAGTTGGTAACCTGGAACATTTGATGTTGTTGTTTCATGGTGGCTCATGCCTGTAATCCCAGCACTGGAGATGCTGAGGCAGGAGGACCACGTCCAGTTCCAGGCTAACCTGGATTACAGAGACAGTTCCAGGCCAGCCGTGGCTGCAAACTGTGACTTTGACTCAAACTGGAAAAAGAAAATGTGGGTGGAAAACAAAACAGGAAGTTCCCATCTTTAAAAGGACCATCTGGGAATGTGCTAGAGTCAGGCCTGCTGTGGCAGTCTCCCCACTCTCTCTCCTCTCTCTGGTGTGTGTCTGTTTCTCTGTCTTTCTCTCTCGTGTGTGTCTTTCTCTTGTGTGTGTATGTGTTTGTGTGTCTCTCTCTTATGTGTCTCTGTCTGCCTCTCTTTCATGTGTGTGTGCTGTCTCACCCTTTCTTATGTGTGTCTCTGTTTCTCTCTCTCTTGTGTGTGCATGTGTCTCTGTTTCTCATGTGTGTGTGTGTTCTGGACTCAGGGAAGGAGAGAGGGACTAAAGACTGTTGGAAGCCGGCTCTCGACCTGCCCTTCCTGTGGCATTCTGGGTGCTGGGGGCTACACATGGTGTTGTCTCGGGCGGGCGGTGGCGGGGGGGGGGGTGGCTAGTGGCCTGGGGGTCAGCGTGGAACCTGCCGTGGAGGACTGAGTGGATACAGCTGTCAGCACTTGGCCTTGATGAATCAGTTGTGCTCCCGTGAGAGAGAGTGCCTGAGCCTGCCTGGTTCCGGCTGTGTGGGCTCCTGGAATGCATGGACACTGCCAGGGAGCTCTGCCTAGCCGGAGCCTCACTTCCACCTCCCATCCAAACGCATCCCTGACAGTCCTGCCTTTGGGACAGCAATGCTCACTGCATCCTGGAGACCTCCCGCCATCTTCTCCTACAGGGACACCATCTTGACTGCTAGTTTGATGAATTTAGAGTCACCTCAGGGAGAACTCTGGGCATTCTGTGAGGGGTCTCAGGATTAGTGAGGCAAGAAGTCACACTGAAGGTGAGCTGGGGTCCTGGGCTGAATGAAGAGGAGACAGTGACCCATACACCGTGCTAGTCTCTCCCTGCTTACTGACTGTGGCTACCATGTGACCAACTGCCTCATGCTCCTGCAGCTGGGACTTTCCCACCGTGAGGAACTGTATCCCTCAAACTGTGAGCCAAGCTAAACCCTTCACCCCTTCACTTGTTTTTGTCTGGTATCTTAGCTAACACTTCCTCCTTTGGCCTTTGATGCTTTTAAGACCCCAGGAAGTAGCACCAAACCTCATCTATCCTTTCTTTTAGAAAATGCACATATATAGGATAGTTTATAAATTAAACACTGTAGAGATTAACAGTGATTAACAATAAAATAGAAGCACTATGATCCCAAGGCTGCAGGTCTGATAACAGACACCCACTGAAAGCTTAACGGAAGGGTAGCATATACCCTGTGGATATCTTGCAGTCTGAGGCTGATGTCTTTCTCTGCCACAAATTAAAGAATAAAGAAAAAGCAAAGATTCAAAGTAAAGTAAAAGTAAATTTTGTTGGCAAGTGATGAACATTCTAGGAGTGAAAAGGGGCCCTAGAGCTTTACAGAGACCTGGGTGTTCCAGAGTCCAAGTACCCCCTCTCTGTGGTCCCCCACCCCCTCTTTCCTCTTCAGTCTCAAGCTGTCTATGCTCTCTCTCTGGAACAGGGATTGGCTTCCTCACTTCAAATGCAGCCATTTGTCTACTGATAGGGACTCTTCCCACCCCACCTCTGTGCACAAGTGCTATGGAAAAGCTGTAGAGCACTTTTAGGGCACGGAAATACAAATAATTGGTGGGTGTTTGCAGTCTGTCACCAATCAGGGTGGAGCCCTACCTTTTCTCTTCCCTGAGGCCAAGGTTTCGGAGCCACTAAGTAGCAATCCACTGGATAACTCAGCTACCAAATGACCAACAACAGGGTCCTGTATTCAGTATGGATACCCTGCAGGTCAATCAATCTGCTAAGAAGGCTATTAGTTAGTTAGACTTAACAGGAGGGTAGGGTACACCATGGATACACTCAACAAAGAGATGATTCACATCCCAGACAAAGACAGGCAGAGAGAGAGAGAGAAACTGAGAATTTCTCAGGTCACTCAGGTTGTCCTCACACTTCTTTACTTTTCCTGTCTCTGCCTACTAAATTCTGAGATGATATGCCTATCATTTCCAGAAGTTTCCATTTCAGTACTTTGGGACTACAGTGGATGGCTGCAGGTAACTGAAACTTCAGCAGGTGGAACTCTGGTTGTAGGGTGTGGAAGGGGTGGGGGTATGGGGGGCAGGGCGGGGCCTTAATGCCGCTTACTAGGTTGTAAGTGTCTGAAAAGCCCCAGAAAAACAGTTCTCTCACAGGGTGCAGTGGCACACACCTTTGACCCCAGCACTCAGGGAGGCAGAGGCAGAGGCAGAGGCAGGTGGATTGCTGTGAGTTGGAGGCCAGCATGGTCTATGAATTGAGTCTAGAACAGCCAAAGTTACACAAGGAAAGCCTGTCTCTGAAAAAAAAAAAAAAAAAGTTCTCTCACTTTAGTGCCCCAGATTTCTGTGTGGGGAAGTATTACCATGTCCCCATTTTGCAAAGGAAACTAAAGCATTCAGGTTGGAAAGGTTAAGGTTCAAGGTCACACAGACAGCAGCTGGGGCACCTGTCCCTGAAGAGTTAACACACTTCCTGCATGAGGCTGAGGAGGCAGAGGTAAGGATGAGGATGGTTGGCAGATAGGAGAGGAGTTTGGGGAGGATCACAAAGGGAGAGGCTTCCTGGGCAAACAGGATTCTCCTCCTCCTCCCTCCTCCTCCTCCCTCCTCCTCCTCCCTCCTCCTCCTCCCTCCTCCTCCT